CTCCTTCTCTGGAGATATTCAAGCCCCGCCTGGACAAGGTCCTGTGCAGCCTGCTGTAGGTGACTCTGCTTAGGCAGGAGGGTTGGACTAGATGACCCACAGAGGTCCCTTCCAACCCCTACTATTCTGTGATTCTGTGACACAATAAAACCTTGATTTATTCTACAGTTATCAGGTCTGCAGTAAAGAGCGTTCCTTCTAAGAATGGGGAAACAACCTGAAAACGTGCCGGAAGCAGCGGTGAAGCGACGGCGCTCACGCAAACGCAGCGTGGCCCTCGCTCCGCGTGCGGGAGATGGCGTGTCAAGGCGTCGCGATATGAGACCCGGCGGGGGGATGCGGGGGTGAAACGGGGGTTGCTCAGGCTCCGAGGTGGAGCGGTGCTTCTGCGGCCGTGCCCCGTCAGAGAGCCAAAGCGGGAGCAGAGGCAGGAGCCGCGGACGCTACTTCCAAGCATATTTTCTACGGGAAGCGCTGCGGGTGGGACAGGCGGGGGACGGATCCCCGTGGGACCACAGGGGTGGTCTTCGCTGTGCTGGTCACAGCTTCGGCGCCGCTCGCCAAGGAACCGTCGCGAGTAAGGGGAATTAAAGACGTGGTGGAGGTGCCCGGCAGACGGGCGCAACAGCCCTGCGCCAGAAGTGCCATCACGGAACAGCACCGGGACGGGTGCGGAACAGCAGAGTCTGCAGAGCGGGAGCTGAGTCCGCGCGGCCGGGAGCCAACGGGAGAGTTGAAGAGGTTTGCAAAACCAGAGAAAATAAAGGAATTGGATATTTTTTTTTTTCTTTAGGGAAGAGGAGGGAGAATATCTTTCTCTTTATTACTTTGTTAGACAAATCTACAGATGCACTAAAAGAAACAGGACTGAAGAACACCTGACAGAGGAAACTGCCCAGCCTAGGGTGACAAAAGGACCTCTTTTCATTTATAATTTTTTCATTAATATCTCTGCAGATTTAAAACTTGAAAATAAATTTGATGCAGATTTCTTGCAAACGGTGACCAGCAGCCAAACCACAGCTCTCCCAAGTAAAATACTTCACTTTTACCGATGTCAGGCTGCCCTGCCAGGGCGGCTCAGACATCAAGCGGGCGTCGCGCTGCTGGTCCCACCACGTGGAGACCGCCCACTCCGCACGGGGCTGCCCGCGCCAAGCTGCTGGGGAGCGACGCTCGCCCCGGCAGCATCGCCCACCCCACCACGTCCCG